CATCCTAGACCCCTTAAAGTCTCCCAAAAAACAAGCAGATCTCGCAGGCCCTAGCTCAAAAACTGAATATGAGAAACTCCCTAGACATCGTCGGTGAAATACAACAACGGTAACTACTGTTTCATACGGTCTGCCTTGGCAATAGCCTCATGCTCCGCTATATTGCTTCAAAAAGGGAGGTAAACCGAGCCAAAAGCTTTCGTTAACTCGACCAAATCGCTGCACCCGGCTGAGCTACCCGATCCAAGCATATGAAAGACAGTATTTCAAATTGCCCGACTAAATAAACTGGCCCGAGCAGGGAACTGGATGCCTCGAAACGCTGGACCGCATCCTCTGAAAGAAGCTCGGGAGTTCGCTCGCGGCGACTTCGCGAAAACAAGGGAACGCGGGATGAATAGCAACACAGTTGTTTCTACGGCGTGCAGGGACACTAATTGAAATTAATGCAATTAGTGTAAAGTTTAGTAGACTGTGGCAATTGAATGCAGCCGTGCTCTGGACGGTAATACGATTACTCGTTGCGAAGAAAATTGCTGCCGGATGATCGCGCGAGCTAGGTAGAGGTTAGGTTCGATCTAAAAAGGCGACTTTCATGGAAACGGGCTTAATCAAGCCAGTGGCGTGTTCTAGCATCATAATCGAATCGCGTTCGTAGAGAGCTCGAGGTGATACAGAGTTCGCTGAAAGAACTGGAGTCGTTTTATTTTAATTAGTCCGTTGTAATGCTATGTTAAAGCGGTGGTATTTATGCGATTAAATTTCGCGCGAGATGAGAATTTAGAGATGTTTTCCATAGCGCCACTGTGCTTAATTTCGTCTTAGTTATGCTTAATCTCGCGTGGCGCTGCGGATTTCTAGGTTAGCGCTGCGGATTACGCAGCAAAGTCCGCCATTTTGATGGGGTTCTGGCGAAAAACGTAACGAACGAGTATCAGTATATGAGTTCGTTTGTAGCTTTCTAGGAATTTTGAAACATTGCAAATGAAATGTATTTTAATCAGTGACGTATCTAGCCTCGTTATTTAAATTTTTCATTTAAATTTCTGCACGAAAGGACTTCGATTGTGGCGCAAAAGTGATTAAAATACGAACTAACTTACGGACTGATCCGATGGATCGCAGTTGGGTTTGTGTTTAATCTTTTGCTAGTCATATCTAACCTCGCGTAGCGTTCATTTAAAGTTAGTACTACAAATTATGTAGCAATTTCCTTCGCTGTCAGATAAGGTTCTATCCTAGCAGAAGACACGCGCTAACCTAAAATTTAGATTCCAGTTATATCTATGTTTAATCTCGTGTAACCTGAATTTAAAGTTAGTGTTGTACTTTGGGCAGCAATTTTCGTCTATATTCGACTCGTGGCCCTCTCTTTCTCTCCCTCTCACAATCAGGGATTATTTCTGTTACAGGCAGTTCAATTATTGGAAAATGTTTAGTAACACGGATTACACTTCAGGTCCAGGAAATAGTTCGTGGGAAGATTCCACGGCAATTTGTACTCGTATTGGTATTTGATGCGTTTTAATTAAATCGTGTGTGGTATCAGACAAAGCAGTGACAACACGAACCATGGGATACATTGATATAGACCTTTAACTAATGCTATAGTAGCGAGACTAACTCATCATCAGCTTTACACGTCGAACGCATTTCATATTACTTTTTAATAATTAATTTGTAATGCGAGAAGTCAAACGAAGCTTGCTCAACACGGCTAGCTAAAATTAGGCATTTTTAATGTATAATTCTTCATAGTTAGATCGTAACATAAGGGATGAAGCAAGGTTCATGCCAAAAATTAAATTGTAGCTAGCTTTTTCCCAGTTCCAAATTTCTCATAATTAAACAAACTTCAATTCTTTCATTTCCAGGTCTTTCATCCTAAGATCTGCTATCTAACACATCCTGGTAATGCCAGATCTCTGCTCGAAATTTTCGATCATGCTTACGCCTTATCCCGCGCCGAAAATATCTCGCTATTTGCTCAAGTTGATTGCTTTCATTGAATCCCTCGTTCTCAATCCCTCTCTCTTTGCCAACGACTTAAGGATACTTCCCTTCCATGGCAGTTTCTCTCCCTCTTCATCGTGACATCGCGACTATTCCTCTGGTTACCGATCGAACGATCAGGATCTATATCTGTCGTTCGAGGCGTTCGTTGGATGAAACTCGGACGGAACTTGCTCTGTTTCGTGGATGTAGATCCGTTAATTCGGATCTTTGACTGTTGTTGTTCTCGGTTGGATCATGTTGCGACTTGGAATTAAGTAGCAGCTTAACTGGAGCAATTAAGACCGGTTTCTTCTCGCGTTTCCATATCTTCTCTGGCTTTCGTTGGACCTTTGCCAACCCAGTTTCTTCCTCGTGTCTCAACCAAGGTAAAAACCGGTTGCAGCGACATGTGGATTTTGGAAAGAAGAGAGAGTACCGAGGGTTGTTTGAGACGTTTTCAGGATCGATTAGAGGTCTGTATCTCGGGGAACATTCGTCACTTTGAAAGGTAATCGATGGTGTGAATTTTCTAAATATCTTATAGGATAGAAGTAAATAATTTTGGCGAAGGGAAAATAAAATTCACCTCTGTGTGGTTTGGAAGAAATATTTTTGGTGTTATTTGGAAGCTTCACCTATTTTCTAATTATTTCCAATTATTTCCAAGTCTCAAACCATGTTAATAAAAATAATAACGGGAAATGGTAGCAAATAAACAACACTAATAACATTCGAAATTATAAAAAAGCTCAATTTTGAGGATTGAAATATCGAGGTCCATGGAATTCTGGTTATTGGATAAAAATAAATAATTTTGGCGAAGGGAGAAAATAAGGAAGAAAATAAAATTCACCTGTGCATAGTTGGGGTTATTTGAAAGCTTCACCTATTTTCCAATTATTTCCAATTATTTCCAATTATTCGAAATTATTCGAAATTATAAAAGAGCTGAATTTTGAGAAATGAAATATCGAGATCCATCGAATTCTGCAATTATTCCGCACCAGATGAACAAAAATTTTAATGTTCCAAATCTCCATAACATTTTCAATCTCGACCAAGCTTAATTTAACAAAAATTCGCGCAGAATGGTTTTAACGAAGACCAAGAAAATAATCGCGAGGATTTACCTAGAAATAATAAGTCATGGTTGAAATAATTCCCGAGAATTATTCACCCCGTATAGCGTGTCTTCGCTATCCACGTGTATTAATTACTCACCGGTAATTTTCGTTCCCGAGCTTAGCTTCCGAGTATGTCGAAGGTATTACACGTTTCAGAATGGTCAATGTGACGTATTTCATTTCTGAAACGCGGACATTGCTGCTGAGATGAATTTCGCGCTCATTAACCGCCTCAAAGGGCATACTTCAATAACGTTCATCTTCTTTGAGCGAAAGAAAGCACCCCTGAAAGGGGTTGATTAAACACGTTTTTCCGAGCTGGGCTTCTCTGTTCTCTGAGAAAACGTTTTCCTTCGGCTCCTTTATTTCTTCGTCAACCCTTTCTTCATTCGATACACACCCCATTGTATCGCGCGATTTTTGTTCCATTGCTGCCATTGTCTTTCAATTTTTCCATAGAATTTTTCCGCAGAAAAATCGAAATGCTGCCGCTACGATAGAAATCGCACCATTTTATTATACCGGTTTAATTATGCTTTGGTAATTATGTTTCGTAACCGCAGTTGTTCAACGCGTTAAGTAAGATCAAGTTTCATCCAGACTGTTCGTGTTAATGTTGCGAATATCGAGATTATGTATGGGCAGATTATAGTTGATTGCATTCAGAAATTACATTTGTTGAACATTGGTAATTACGTGTAGCAAATAGTATTAATCGTGTTTGTCAATTGATGGAACATCACGGGGAATGTCAATATTGATTTTTCGTACCTGTGAAAATGAAAAATATAAAATCGGTGAGTAATTTAATTGTATTTTATAATTTTTATTTCCCAAAAATTGCTTGGTCAAATTTTTTCGGGGATGTGACCCAAGAAGATTATATCTTATAACTCGGATATTCTGCATAGTTCGTCGAATTTAGTGTCTTTCAGTTTAAACGTGTAACGAGAGACGTTTCTGGAATGAAAAATCGAGTCGTTGATGCGGAGAATTCTATTATCCTCGTAGTTTAATTATGCTCCAAGACTTGTCTGTTCTATAATAACAGTAGAATCTAGGTGTTGCACGGTGTGTTAAATCAGATTAAATTTCACAGGTATTTTTCACTTGAAATTTCTCTTACACGGGAAACTTGCTATTCAAGAATCGTAATGGAAGCACCGAAAAAATTCCTCTCGTATTATGAAAGAACTTAGAAGAATTTCCATTTTATATCTTCACATTGGATATTCTTCCTCGTCTGTCATGTTCAATATTTCATACATATTCAAAGACAATGAAATCACGATATAAAATAATAAAAATAATAAAAAAATTTCGTCTCTGCAATGACGTTCATAAATATTCTTTACTTTAAATTCGTTTTACGTAAGTTCAGTAGTATTTAGTAGTATTGCACTTAAGAATTATAGTGATCCACAGTGTTTTTCTTAAGATTTTATAATGCAAGACGTAATAATGCATTCTTATAATGCAAGATCTCTAATAATAAGACGATTTTTCCTCATTTTCGCAATTTCGAACACTGGCTCGATGAATTGCATATGGCGATAAAAGAGATAAAACAATAATAAAAATTTTGCCATAACATCCAAATCGAAGAGTAATTAAACGAGTAAAATAAGATTGAGTTTCATAGTCACTTTTTATTTCAAATTTTTTTACGAGGGATTTAGTATTTTATGGTTTCAGAATCGCGTTACGAGCTTGGAGAAAATTTATTACTGTTATACCTGAAAATATATTTTCATTATATAGCTTCGCGTTGCAGTTTTCCCGGTGTGTCAAGTTCAATATCTCTCGTGTTACAAGCGTAATAAAAATTTTCCGTGCTGTTCCAACGATTCGATCTAACAAGATGCGAATGGTTTGTTGCAGGTGGCCAAGCTGTTCTCTTACACTTGGACTATGGGCCTGTTTCTATGCAAGTCGGTGCACTATATGCAGAGCGTCTCGGCTATTTGCTCGGTCGTCACGTTAACCGCAATGTCGATCGAAAGGTAAACCTGACGTTATTACCTCTTCTGGCATCGTCGCGTTTTAAACCTATATCGCGCACGCCTTTGTGATCCGCGTCACGTGCAGAAATGAAATCGAAAAATGGAATAAAATAGACTTTTACGTCGAATAATATTAAATAATCTTCGTTCATCTTCGTTCTGAATCTGAACGTCACTTATTTCATATTTGGGGATCTTTTATTTTTGTTTTAGCATTGGCGATAGAATTTTTATGAAAGTATGCGAATTTTCGTCAATTTTCACGAACTTTTGCGAATTTTCACTCATGTCCACGGACATTTGCGAATTTCTTGCAATTTTTCGCAAAGTTCCACTGATTTTTGCGGACTTTCGCAACTTTTGGCGAACTTCCACAAATTTTCACTAATTTTCGTCGACATTTGCAATTTTTTTAGCGATCTTTCGCAAATTTTCATTAATTTTCATGATCTTTTGCCAATTTCGCAAATTTTTGCGAATTTTCATAGTCATTCGCAGTCTTTGGCAAACTTCCGCAAATTTTCACTAATTTTCGCGGGCTTTCGCAAATATTTGCAAAGTTTCATCGACATTCCCAATTTTCTTTTAGCGAATTTCTGCGAATATTCTTTAATTTTTGCTATCATTCGCAATTTTTGCCAAACTCCCGCAAATTTTCCTCAATTTCCGTGACTTTTATGCATACCCTTCTGTTACAAATGAAGTTAAACAGCTGAGATCATTTCATTAACCTTAACGCGTTTTCATTCCAATCTTCTTTCACTTAATTACCTTATCGGTAAACGATTAGAAGTACCATTTTAAATGATCTCGGGTCTTAATCCAAATCGAATTACCTCTGAACCAAGTGTATTCCACTGCAAAAATTCCTCTCGTTCGACTATCCACAACCGACTTTAAATCGACACGTTTCCATAAAAAATCGATAGATAAATCGTAATTTCGGAACTCGGTACGTATAAGACATTTTCACTATCGTGAGGATCCCTGCAAACGGCTTCGAAAGACGTAAAAATTTTATATCTGTGCCATTTCTCTCACGACACCTCGGCTTCCTTCCTCTTATCCCTGAACCGAGCGAGTCAGGGAGAATTATAAAATTTCCAAGTCGCAGAAAATTCGCGATACACGCTTTAACCTTAAAGAGAATCGACTGTTCGCTGATTAAAGCCCGAGAAACCGTTTAACTGATATCGTTGCATGCTCTGGACGTGTCATTTTACTTAATTGATGCACTTAAACGAGCTGCCTGAAATTCAGCCTATTTATAACGGACGCTTCTCGTAGACATGCTTTCTCTCGGTAAAATGCGAGAAAAAGGTCTTTGGTACGTGAAACCACGCGATGCATTTCCTGTTTCGCGGTGTAATTTCGGAGTCGTTTGAAAGATGGACCTATCTACCAAAATTCTGTTTTCAGCTATTCCAACCTCCTATTTTTTAGTTATTTTATTACTTTTATTATTTCTATCTTTTTCATCGTATTTCTATTTTCGTTATTTCTATTTTATTGTGCCACAATTTTTATCACTTCCATTTTCCTATATTTTATTCCTTTTCTTATTTTTATCTGTTTCATCCTATCACTATTTTTATTATTTCAATTTCCTTATCGTGTCATAATTTTTATTGTTTCCATTTTGTTTATTATTTTATTCCTTTTATTGTTTTTATCTTTTTTAAAATTATATCTCTGTGTTCATTATTTCTATTTTTTTTGTTGTGTTTTAATTTTTATTATCTCCATTTTTTATTATTTCAATTTACTCATCGTGTCGTAATTTTTATTACCTTCATTTCTTTATTATTTTATTCCTTTTATTATTTCTATCTCTTTCATTCTATCACTATTTCTATTACTTAAAGTTTCTCATCGTGTCACAATTTTTATCATCTCTATTTTTTATTATTTTATTCCTTTTATTATTTATATCTTTTTTATCCTATCACTATTTTTATTATTTCAATTTCCTTATCGTGTCACAATTTTTATCATCTCAATTTTCTTATTATTTTATTCCTTTTATTATTTCTATATTTTTTATCCTATCACTATTTTTATTATTTCAATTTTCTTATCGTGTCACAATTTTTATCATCTTCATTTTCTTCTTATTTTATTCCTTTTATTATTTCTATATTTTTTATCCTATCACTATTTTTATTATTTCAATTTCCTGATTGTGTTATAATTTTTATTGTCTCCATTTTGTTTATTATTTTAATCTTTTTATTATTCATACCTTTTTAAAAATTATATCTCTGTTTTCATTATTCCTACTTTTTTATTGTGTCTTAATTTTTATTATCTCCATTTCCTGATTTTTCGTAATAATTTATAACAACCATAATACCTTCTTTTATTTTATTTTATTTGTTTGTACCTCGTATTTTTTCCATTTCTACGATTGTAGCGAACAACTGTATTGATTGTAGTATCGAGTCTCTCAAAAAATTGACGAGAGCCGATTTTGATACGAGCTCTGCAATTGCTCGAATGCTCTACCAGCAGAAATAAAAATTTTCAGTTTTATTCATAGCGTTTTGTATCTTCTTCGACGCTTGCATCCAATAAAAGGCTGATAAATTTTCTATCAAAAATTTCGCTACGGCCACTAATCCCACTAAACTTCGCGATTTTTTTGCCGACGTACATATAATCGCTTTTTCGATATCTCCTGTTATTCTACTTCCTTTTAAGCTTAAATTTCTCATCTAGCCGATCGTGATACATTTAACGATAATTTTGCTTTTACGTTTATTTAATCTTGTTTCTCGTCGATTCAATATTAACATCGCGGTAAAAAATGAGCTATAAAAAGCGATAATCAGGGAAATGGTCTACCCGAAAAAATTCTCCTTTTTCATGTTCCTTTTTCCGATTTTAAACCAAGATTTTCTAATTCTTCCCTCACGTTCCGGCATTCGGGGAATACCTCGGTTCTTTTTCCGCGGAATTAACGGTACACGAGGATTATAAATTTCGAGAACGCGCCCCGTGGGCGTATCTCGCGAGGATAGATCCAGGATTGGGTAATGATCGAGGGATTCGCAGTGAAAATAAAAGGGCAGAGTTTGACGAGTGGTGAAGTTGGTCGCCAAAATGACGAAGCTTCACAGATTACGTGGGAGGGCTCATTTATTGGATCTTGCTTAGAGTAAGCGATTGGAAATCCATAATTTCGCGATATTTATTTTTTGCAGCGTTATTGTTCGAAAGTTTCTGGTCCATTTTATTTTCCGTGATTTATCGGGACGAGGTAAAATAAAAATCGTGGCACGATCTTTCTTGTATTCGATGTTATAGGTTTTCCTTGTTGTATCGTTGAATTTGGCTTCCATTTTTGATTCACTTTCAAATTTAATTCGGGGATTTTAACATTTTTTATGGATTCTAATATTCGTGATTTATGGGGTGAGATAGAATAAGAATCGTGGCTTGTTTATTTTTATTTCTGATGATGAGAGGTTTTCCTTGTCGTTTTATCGGATTTGGCTCCCATTTTTAAACCATTTGCCAATTTAATTCGAGGATTTTAGAATTTGTCGTGAATTCTAATTTTCGCGATTTATGCGATGAGATAAAATAAGAATCGAGGCTTTAATGAGAGAGCCTTCCTTGTATCATCGAATTTGGTTTCCATTTTTAATTCATTTCCCAATTTAATTTGTGAATTATGGAATTCTTGTTATTATTTATATTATTATATATATTTTGATATTATTGTGAATTTCTAATATTTTTATAATATTATAATAATCTATGGGGCGAGACAAAATAAAGAACTTGGTCTGACGTTCCTCGACTTTGATAGCACAAGCCTTCTTTGTCGTATTATCAAATTTCATTTCAGTATTACAGAGAGCAATATCTCATTATCTACTTGTTTGACTCGTTCTTTACAAGATCCTCCTATTGTTTGATAAATAACATTGTTATTAATAATTTTCTGTTCATTAAAATCATCCCCTTGCTGTACAATTTAATTATAGAAAATAACGAATCGCGGAAGTATTTAATTTTAATTAATTTTAATTAATCCCGATATATTCCTTCGTTCATAATACAATTTAAAAAAACTCTTAGAATTCATACAAATTTTTGAGTACGAAATCGTGTCTCTTAACTTGATTAAATATACAATTTTACATTTATCGTCGAAAGACCCAAGTTCTTTAATCCAAAATAACCCCAGGTCTCTAACCAGAACTGTGTCATTTTTATCACCAACACTCGAGTTCGGTGAAGGAATTAGGAAGACGAAAATAGACGAAACAGTCGTCCAGAATTCGAAGTCGAGCTTAAGCAATTTCCCAGTGTCGATCGAATCCACGACAGATGTTAACGATCGTTGCGACATGACAGTCCTGGACCAGGTCCAAGAGGACGTAATCTGATGTCCCTCGATAACCATTCAACGTAGCTCATTAACGACCAGCACCTCGATTTATATTAAATCTATCTCCGCCCCTAATCTCTACGTCCCATCGCCTGAAGCATTTCCACGATTTCCATGATTCCATACGATTATTAAGAACTTCTTATTATCGTCCGATCTACATACCCATCAGTGAAGGCTAATCGACGTAAAGCTCGTCCCGAAATTTCCATCTGCACCCTCGACATCTCCCATTCGGCTTCCTGTTACGGAAGAATTCCGAATTCCGGTGCTCGCAATCCACCGGGAAGTTACACACCCTGGCAGGGTGCCCGCGAATTCGTCCTGCCCTATTCTTTCGACACCCTTCGGAGACACTTAGCCATGAATCGGCCTTTCCATTTCAGATCAGATTGCGAGCTCCTCGAGATTGCCAGCTTTTCTCTTATTTTATCGCCCTTCTTTCTTCCCCCTTCGAAGAAATTAAACACACGCGTCTTATTGATCTTTAAGACGTTCACTGGTAAACAAGTTTTCATAGATTTCTCGCTCATCGCAATGATGGATTGTATTATTTTTAAGTGGATAATCTGAGACCTTAACTGACACTGAATTATATTGGAAATGGAAGAGTTTGGATTGAATCTGACGTTAATTATGGATGGACTGAGTCAAGGCTCGAAGATTTCCAATGCTCAAGTACCTAAAATATTTCTGGTACCCAAAGTTACTGTGAGATCGTGTAGGATCGGATATTTATCAAATCTGGATTGAATTGGGTCTCGAAAATTTGCTATATTCTGGTATCTGAAGGTTTGGGTACATTATAGATACTTCATTATAGATAGATTGGGTCAGGACCTGAAATATTTCTGGTACCTGAAATTGATATTCTTTGGATCGGATTGGACATTGATCAACTCTAGGTTTGTACTACCTGGGTACCTGAAATATTTCGAATTGTTGTTACTATTCCCCTCTATTCAGATCTTGCAAATTTCTGAGATCGTCCACCTCGAGTACCTGAACATTGCAAACTCCCAGCTTCCTTCTTAAATGGAATATCGACTAATAGGAATATAATTAATTTTACCAACGTGTCCTTCATTTGCGACCAACAAAGCTTAAGTGCCCAGATCATCATTGATCGACATATTAATGAACGTGTCAATTAAACCTTCATGAGTCCTTTATTTCGATTTTATACTAAACAAAATTTTCGGTATTCCGGGGATTATAGAATAGAAGATTAAGCATAGGTTAGGATAGGTTGTCCTGGATTTATGATTTCTCGTTGGAAGCTGTTGTTTCAGCTCGCTGCTCACGTTCAGCCTCTATGAAGGGCCGATAAAATAGTCCCTAGCACGCGTGATCCAACAGCCTCCTCCGACGCGCGGCCATGCTTAAAATTTATTTGATTCCAGGGGAAATTGAACCGCCTTATCGTCGCCTCTCTCTTCCACGTCGTTGGATCGATCGATCTTTTCCTCTTATTGTTTATCGCGGGAGCCTTTTCTATGGAAAGGAAACAGATAAAGACCGGGAATCGTCCATATTTTTTCGTGGCTGTTGCAGGGGTTGTTGAGAGCCGAGGGTTAGGTGCTCGTGTGGGTGCTGATAGGTGGCCATGTTGGACAGGAAGATTTCGATTCTCCAGGCTCAAATGGGACGATGTTCCATTTTATTCTCTGTTATGAGGAGATAAGAGTCGTTTGTAACTTCTCGTGCTTTTTGAGGTTATCCGAAATCAGACACGTGATTCTGCTGGTGGAGGGGTTAATTTAAAGCAACGAGTGTTATGTTTCTCGGTGAAAATAAATTTAGGAATCACTTTAAACAGCTGTAAGTCTGTAGAAAAATTCAAAAATTGTATTAAAAGATTGTAAATTTACGAAAAACGTGCAAGGGCTGCTTCGAAGGGTTGTCGCTTTGCGAAAAGGTCTAGGGGTTAGTTAAAAATATTGTAACTTTGTGAAAAAAAATCATAGCTTCCCGATTCTTTTTTTAAATTAAAGGGGAAGGTTCGAATTTTATGCCACGTAAACCGGAAGCCCTGAAAAAATTTTTTCGAAGAATATGAATTTCGCCAAATTTTGCAATTTTCAATACGACAAACACGACCGAGTATTTAAAGGGGTGCAGTGGCGAGGGTGCATTAAATTTAAAACACGGGTGTAGCATCTTAAACTAGGGGTTTCAAGCTTTTATTTAGAAAAAAAAAAAAAAATGGTGATCTTACGATGACTTTTCTTGGAATTATCGTTATCCAAAGTTGGCCCATTTTCGTCAAAATTTTCTTGGAAAATCATATTCAAATCATCAAAATGAACAAAATTTACTCATCTCTGACCACAGATTTCAGTACTTATGCTATATTTTAACATAACTTTCGCAGATCAGAGATGGAATGATTGAAAACTGATTTGTCAGTCGCTATTGATTATTGGTCACCATAGTTGACGTTGAAGTTATTATACAATGGAAACTTTCAGTTGCAATTGACTTCGGTATAGCGATATCGAATCGCTCGAATAAAGTCGATAAATCGATATTAACACCTTCGAGGCCAAAACCAATTTCAGAAATTTTTCGAACGACCAAAGCAATTTTCGCTTTTCTATTTTCTACAGAATTATTCTTTTATTTCACACAATTTGAATAAAAGCTTTCCCGCCCACGTGCAAAGATGCTTGATCCAGATTCGTGTTCGAAATATTCAAAATCTTCCTGAATGTAATTTACATTTTATCCTTGCTCTAAGTAAACACTGTTGCTGATATACAGAGTGGGCTATTTAACATAACCATTTCATTCGCTCTTGTTAAATTAAATTCCTTTATCTTTGACGATGAAATTTATTTCATTAAAATCGCTGTTATCGTTATGTTGAAAATTTTTTCGCGTACTATCATTTATTCCAAATTAAATTTTTATTGTTTCCGTGATTAAATGGTCGCGAATAATAATCGAGATGGTCACGTTGAACGAGCCACCCTATATGGCGAGAGGGTTGCAATTAACGTTTATTTGATAACGATAGCACCGATTTCGATATTGGTGGTGGAAATTGGTCGTTAGGGGTTCTTTATGATAATCATAGTGGAGAGATTCGGTTAGTAATCTTCGTCGGGATTACTCGAGCGCATGAGTGGAAAATGTTAGTTTTTCATTTCTCAACGACAACTTAACGCCTGGGAAAGCCGATTTCACTCAACGAGTTTTTTTCTCAGCTGGGAAATTTATTTTCACCGCGAAGCCGTGCTTTTTCGACGATCGACACTCCCGTATGTCCACACACGGAAAGATAGGGGAATAATTAATCCGCGTAGAAATAAGCTTCCTTTTGAAACACACTTTCGCGAGAAATCTCTATTACTTTTAAAGAAAATTTCGTTTCCAATTTCTCTGAGCATCAGTTGGAGAGGAAGCGAGTTATTTCTTTGTGTCTCTTCCAGGTACCGTTTTTAAATATTTTTCGCTTCTCTTATTATTACTTGAAAAGGAAGCGAGTTGTATTTTCGTATCTTTTCTGGGTACTGTTATTAAATATTTGTCGTTTCCCTTATTACGTCCCTTTCTGCCAATAAATCTGTAGCTTTCTTCTTTGGTGCCATTTTTAAATAATTCCTGCCTTTTTATTCAATTTTGTCACATTCTTTAATAATTTACAATTTTTTAATATTTTTGGTAGTATTGTTAAATATCTTTTGTTGCTGTTGTTACCACGTCTCTTTTGATCGACAAATCTGCTGTATTTTTACCCCCTTTGATGCCATTTTTAAATAATCCTTGCCTTTTTATATTTTTATCGTGACACGCTTTTGAGTGACAAATTTTTTCACACTTTTTAATATTTTTTGATAGTATTATTAAATATCTTTCGTTGCTGTCGTTACCGCGCCTCTTTTGATCGACAAATCTGCTGTATTTTTATCCTCTTTGATGCCATTTTTAAATAATCCCTGCCTTTTTATATTTTTGTAGCGACATGCTTTAGAGTGGCAAATTTTGTCGCATTTCTTAATATTTTTTGGTAGTATTTTTAAATATCTTTCGTTGTTGTCGATAAAAAATCTGCTGTATTTTTACCCTCTTTGATGCCATTTTTACATAATCCCTGCCTTTCTATATTTTTATCGCGGCTAAATAATATCGCGGCTGATAAATTTTATCGTACTTTTAACCATTCCTTGGAAATAATTTTAAATATCTTTCAAGAATCGTGCCAAACACGGGTATCACTGCTATAAGAGCTATGGTATGTAGCTACGTCCTGAGGTAAACACCACGGGTCAGGCTATAGGTTAATTTTCGTCGACGTTTTCCTGTTTCAGTTGCGTGTTATTCTTCGTCGCGTTCGGACGACTTGGCTCGACGTGTGATTGACTCTGGTGTTGACAATGGCACGTGCCATTGGAACTCAAATCCTAGTGCACGCGGTTGATCGCGTAAACGGTGAACAAAGAATTTGCAGCACGACGGGGAGGAAAGAGATAGAGGAAAAATAGAGAAAGAAACGAATACGGAAAAGTGTCGAGAATCGTAACCGTAAAACGAAACGTTCGTTATGATTCCTCACGTCGTTAGCCTGCTTCATCGTCCCTCTTTATACGCGCGATCATTTTCCTCATCTTCTCTTTGACGACGCGTTGCTTTACAACCCGTGTGATTAAAAATCACCCGTGAAAATCCATTGCGAGAAATTTCGGGTTTCTATCGAATAATCGGAGACTCGCGATAGCAGATTGAGTTGTTTCGCTAATCTCGCTATATGAGCCGTTCACTGCGCAAATCGATTAACTGCACTTTGTGAAAAATCTTAAATTTAAGTGTCAAAGCACTTGGTATAGTCGTAACTTTTTATATTTATAATAACTTTCCCTGATAATTAAGATCAACACCATTAAACGACAAAAATTTGTTGGCCCCTGAATAATAAATAATTTATTTCAGAGGTCACTTTAACTCCATACTCTAATGTGAATCGTTGCAATAATGCAACTCAAATGCACTAGCAAGCCGTGAATGATAACGGTGAATTTTTTCGGGTCGTCTTATCAGAATTGAAGTAAAATTTAGTCAAATTTAAATTTATTACTTTTTTCACTTGCCAAATCGATTGACTCTTCCAATAGCAAGCCGTGAATGATAACGGTGAATTTTTTAGGGTCGTCTTATCAGAATTTAAGTAAAATTTAGTCAAATTTAAATTTATTACTTTTTTCACTTGCCAAATCGATTGACTCTTCCAGTAACATGGAAATAAAAATAAAAATAAAAATGTTTTATGGAGTTAATCAATTTGTGCAATGAACGGCTCATATGTGACACCAGATGCGGGTTGGTTTGTCGAACAGCGGTGAATTAATTGAAATTTCCACTCGTGTTTCAGGTATTACGCTATCGTCCATCCGATGCGGGCGCAGTACACGTGCACCATAAGCCAGGCTCGCAAAATAGTAATTACTACTTGGGTGGCGTCCTTCCTTCTTGGTATCCCCATGATCTTCACGCAGGTAAGTGATATTTTGAAGAAAATTTATTTATCGTACGAATGTTGAGTGAGTAATAGAATAAACGCGATTAAAATATCGTAGGATTAGCCTCCAATTTGTCCTCCAATATTCTTCGATAATCCCTTTGCAGACAAAGATCTCCTGGTTTGACAAGCAATGACACCTTTCTGTAACAAAAATAGATTTATTCGAACTCAAATACGGCGTCTTCTTCTTTATAATTCTTATTACATTTTCGAACTCTATTGTGATCATATACACTCTATATATATTCCCACTATGATTCACTAAACTCCCTACACTCGACTCTTTACCTACCCTTTACGTACTGCCTCGCCTGCACCCTTGCACCCTTATTTGTACCCCTGCGGTCGAGACGGTTCGAAGTTGGCCGTACCATGGAGTCGAGTTGCTGCCACGATAGGCATTTCAAATTTCCAGTGCACATTTCTGCTTAATTTCTATTTTCGTTGATAAGCACTCCAAGATGTCAAATTCTAAACATATGTGGCCATAGCGATGCGTTTACGTAAAACACATATATGACCGTAGTTTGCAAAGGATTAAACCTAACATTCCCTCTTCATTCACAGTCTTTCTTTCTCGATCACTCATTTCCCATGTGACTTCTTCCTCGGTTTGGGTCAGGTACTTGAAACACTCGGACGCATTTCTAAACTTTCGTTCGTTGCTCGCCCTTGGTACAATTGTAAATATCTCGCTCATATAATGAATTTACATTCGGTCATTTGTCCTTCCACATACACTTCAGATATCACCTTGAACGCTCGAGCCAAGCTCGAGGCCGCTGTTTATTGTCTTTTGTTTTCGAAAAGCGACCCAAGCGTTCCCATGCACCCATTTAGAACTAATTGTAAGATCACTCGCTCATTCGTTCTGCTACCCCTCTTGAGGTCCTTCATCCCGTAATACCACAATATAGAAAGTGACTTGTTCTTGTGATTTATTCTATTCTCTAAACGCTGACTCTGAATACAGTCAGATTTCCTATAACGCTATTAATTCGTACCGTGTTGTCTGGAAACCGTGAACCTGTCAGTTACCATTCTTATTTATCCCCTATTCAAATTCTTTCACTCGGTTCATAGAAGAATCTCAAACACAGAGGAAAACAAACAGGAGGAGCACAGGAATGGTGTTTTCAGGAACTTCGATTTCCAATACTCTATTTAGAGAAATCGCTGGCTCGTATAGATATGCAGAGTCCGAGGAAATATGACTGGCAAAGTCGGCTCGCATCCTTTCGACCTTCCTTTATAAGACTACTTTTCCCAGAAGCCATGAGTACCCATGAGGGAGTCGGAAAATCGAACGAAATCGCGCGGATAGATCAGCTTCCATCAACCCAAGCTCTCCTATTCCTTCTATTCCTGCCTCGATGTTAATAATGTAGGGTTGAGGGTGGAGGGTCACACAAGGGATTAAATAGATAAATATTCTCTCTCGCACAGTGGCATTGATGATGATCAATAATGATATATTTAGGATCGACTGGATTAACGATAACTCTGTTAGTGGTAGATGAAATGTCAATAACAATAAGAACAATTCTTTATTTAATTACACCAAATGATCAAACGCAAATATTAAGTATAAATCTAATTAATTCCTCGCAATGCTCACTCCTATTTTCACTATTGCAACTCAATTATAACTGACCTATGCCCAATCTCTCTGGTTGCACCTCTTCTCACTATTAACCCTTTGCACTCGACGTTTTTTTGGCTAGAGAAGAGTAGAAATTCGAAGATTCTCTACTGAAAAATTGACGATACTTTTTTGAGCAGTAAATAAAGAATTGTAGAATTATTTGACTTCGATTCTTCGCACACTGTTACATTACATTAAATTTGATATATTAATTAATGTCGATCTTCCAAATTTTATGAAATGGTGACTGAAACTTTCCTCAAAAACTCCTCAAAACTCATTTGCAACTGACCTATGCCAAATCACTCTCGTTTTTTTTCCTTTCTTTTTTCATATATTACATCACATACAATTCACGCAACACCTCAATCATTACACGCATACTCATTTATCACAAAAACCTGAATCCATTACATATTGGCATCCCATGCATACTTGCCCTACTCATCCCTTTCTTACTGTTATAATTTTGTTAAAGTAACTAGGCAGTGGATTGGTATATGTATATATTTGTAAAGCGAATTTTGCTATATTAGTATCTCTAACACGACTGACTTACATAGCTAGGATGAGTCATTGGCTCCTGGGAGAGAATATTCCAGAATAATAACAATAGTCACAGTAATTCTACATCGATGTCGTGTGCCATCTAATCAGCCTAATCACGTAATTATCGTTTCCTACCATACCAATATCTTGTTTACAGTTAGCTGCTCCAACACTTACAAACATCGCTCCTTTATTACATCAACACATATATATATATTCAAAATCTATGTTAACCATTACCACAAATTCGTCATCCACCGTTCCTAATCCTTCCCAATTAATGTCATCCAACTTCCTCTTCCACCATTTTATTTCTTCCACATTTTTGGGGCGCGTTTCTACGCGCAGCAGCCTCGCGAATCGCGAGATTAATTAAAACGCGAAACTCGCGAGTTTGCGACGGAATCTTTGTGTCTCCGTGTAAAAGAGTATGCCGCGGGCAACAAAGAGATGAAAGAATTAATGGCATGCACGCGTCTCGCGGAGTAAATGGCGCGCGTATAGGGATGAAAGAGGGCGCGACCCGGAGAAATGTATCCTCGCTTCTGGGGAATTTTTCAAATAATTTAATAAATATTTTTACATCCGCCACATGAAACGCGAGAACGGAGATTCTCCAGCTTTCGAATCGCATCGGGTCAAGACTTTCCAGGGATCTCGAAGAAATCCGCCCCCGAGAGGAATTTTCAGTATTCCAGTATAAACAGATATAAAATTGGCAAGGGTTCTGAACGCAACTGATACTCTTGTTTCCTTTGCATAGACTCGCGTTTCGTACGATTTAAGAGACTTATCCCATTGCACTCCTTTGTCCAGTGTGATTCGACACCAGTTTTTGTCATAACAACTATATCGAGTTGTATTCCACGGTTTTTCATTCTTTATTTACTAAACGAGAAAATAGAGAATAAGTAATTACTCGAATTACTTCCATTTAAAATATAAATTATAACAATTTTGAGATAATTTACTATATTTAATATAAGCAGTAAACAAAATTGTTTGAAATAAGTGGCAGTCGAGGAACTGTCGAGTGAAGTAAATTTCAAATAAAATACTTAAATTGGCAGGGAGTTATTGGCAACAAAAAAAATTGAAAAATAATTTTCAGTGCAAAGGGTTAAGAGGTTCTTCGAAATCGAGTTTCTTTGGCAATCGTTTATATTGTTATTTAATAGTGCGATATTGTAAGCAATTATTGATAAAAATGGCCGAAAAATTTGGGATACTCGAGGTATTTTGACGATCATTTAAAAATAAATACGATGTTATTCGTAATTACTGCATGAACACCTGCTGAAAGTTGGATAATGTGGGGTATTTGGAATATTTTGATTGTTGTATAAAGGTATATTATTATTCGTAATTATGGAATGGAAAAGGTGTTAAAAGTGGATGTGAAATTTTGTTTCAGACGCACAAGGAAGTTGGAATGAGGGTAATTGCTTACTGGTGCGTGCGTGATTCAGAAGCTGGACTTTTATGGCGTGCACACGAGGTTTATATGCTGGTTCTGGTCCTGGTGTTACCCCTAACCGTGATGGCGTATTGTTACACGGCCATTTGTTGGGAGATTTGGCGAGTCATGAAACGTCGATACCACATGACGTCTCGACGCACGTAAGTTCCTTCGTATCTCTTTTATTCCTTCCTGTCTCGAGGAATCTCTGCTTCGTTCGAAGCAGAACGGTATTTTTCCACCGATTTTTCCCATTCGTACTGAAATAAGGATGTAAATACAAGGGAGCCTGCTAGGGACCCTAGCCTTACCGATGAATAAGGTCATAACACTAGGCCTGCTAGTGAACTTTTACTAGTAGACCCTAATACTATATTACTATTAGATATTACTATTAGATACTATTGGAAAATTTGGAAATTCTATATATAAGAAGCGGAGGGTTTACTAAGAATTTATATGAAAATCCTCTAACTTTCCTAAACTTGAAATCCATCTAGTTGCAAGGGTGAGAATGATGCCGCCATAAATGAGTCCACTGGTAGGCCTAGTGTTATGACCTTATTCGGTGGTAAGGCTAGGGTCCTTAGCAGGCTCAGGACGAAGCATCCCTTTCTTTCCCTTTCATCCATCTAGCACCACCGAAAAATCAGAGGATGCCTGGCTAAACACACCCCAGCAACCATGGGGGAGGGGAAGGATTCCCACGTAATTCACTTAGTTCAGAGATTAAACGAATTGTCTCGATTTTAATAAAAAATTTCACCCCCTTTGTCGGTCGTAATTTTCACGATTTTCATATATTCGCATTTATTTTCGCGGAGATCAGGATACAATGAATTTCGCTGACAACGCGTTCGATTATCCTTGGTCCGATTTAATCGAGGACTTTAGTCGTATTATCCGCCGATGGAGATTAGGAAAAATTGAAATTCAGATCGATTTCTACCCTTCTATAGTAGACTGTATACCTGTTCCGTAAAAAATTCGGCGGTCACGATCGACTGCACTCGATTACAATCGAAGCTTAATTTCATAAAACATTTATGTTTTAGATTCTGTGAATTCCACGCACGGCTTTCGCCATATATACAGCTTTTCCATGCATATTTCCAGATTGTTTTCCCTCTCCTTTATTTTCCATTCATTTTTCACCGGAATTACTTGCCGGCTAATAATCAGAATGCGTTATTTGCTCGAAAGCTTCATAATCAGCTTTGTAACTCTCATTCGTGATTTATGATCCGTATTTTTCTTTGCTTCTCGTTATTTATCTCCGTTGTGCCGCGTGTAATTACTTGCACCGTGAAATAGAGTGTCCCAAAATTCACGCAGGATTTGAATTTTGCGCCATTTGCTCGGTAAAGTGTTGCCAACGAAAATAAAATACAGCGTGACAGTTGACAGTTCAGGGTAATTCAAAATAGTTGCGAAAGAACAACACGGTTTCCTTGTCCAGCAATATTTACAATTTTTAATTAAACAACCCGTGTTTTCTATTAAAATTCTTCTCTGCGTGAATTTTGGGTCACCCGTTATGTTAGTAATATTTAGTATTTATTTATTTAACCGTAGAACATTACGCGACGTGAATAATCTATGAATACGAAATATTAATTATTAAACGATCACGTAATCTTTGACGTAGCTTCAGTCTTATTGGACATTTTCGTTTATCGGTTTCACGGTAAATTTCGACGCTTTGTACAATTTGCTCAGTGGGAAATTTTCCTTTTCGCAATTTTCGCCACGCATTTCGCGTATCGATCTATTCGGCAGATATACGTGGCTGGAATTCTGTGTACGCCTATGTTACACTTGTCAGACTCTTTTTTCCACGATCGAAAGGCAAACACGCTTTGCAGAGTAGTCCTGTGGAAATTTCCCGATTTAAAAATCGAAGCAAATATGTCGATGCATCGTGTTGCATCTTCGTAAATATAGTTCGGAAGCTCTCTTTGATCCTCCGTCTCGTATTCGAGGAAGGAAGAATTCCTGCTCGTTATGGCGATAATAATATTTCTCAGCTTTTAGGTATATTTCGAAATTATTTTATGCAGCGTATTATTTATTATACAAATTTTCCCGTGGCTCGAGATAATTTTCTTAAAACACAGGGACTACTGAAACGGTAAAAATCGTAAAGGAATTGTTAATATAATAGGAGGTGGAAGGTGAAACAGATTCTTAATAATACAACCGTATATTCGTAACGATTGATACCGATTTTATTATAGTTCTATTGCATGTGGGCACTGAACACCAAATACTAAAGCCCACCAACATTCACAATATATAATATATAGTAACTTTCGAGTGTTGCCAACACGTTGTGAGAACTCTCCAAGGCGCGAAGTATGAATTGAATATATTTCAACAGGAATTAATCTCTGGCCATTTGTTTTATCGTATTATTTATTCTTTCTACGATTGAAGAAAAAAGACACTGTATTTACATTTTTCTTTCATTTAAAATCCCAAGTTTCCTCAAAATATTCCTAAAACTTGATCAATTAATTCTCTAACCACGGTAATTGTATAAAGAACCAGTCTATCAACAGGAAGAAATATATTTTCTTTCTCATTTTCCAGTCTTCATTTTATTTTACCAATGTCTCAATTTTAAAGTCTACGATTTAACCCTTCGCAAACGAAGGAAATTAACCCTATTTAGTCACAAAGCAGAAACAATTCGAATCTTTTCTATCATAAAATCGAAATTTTCACCCTAACGTAAAAAAACATCGCAAATCAAAATTTATTAATACAGAATTGTTTTATATCAATATTCCAGATATCAATTATTAAATTACTTTAAATAATAATATATTTACCTTCGTCTCTGCCTCTCAATTCGAATTACATTAGTAAACCAGCAGCTGATCGTCGTCACTCGTGTCCAAAGGGTTAATGTCACCCTCGCAATACCGTCCTTCAAAGTCACTGTAACGCGCATTGTTTCCCCGGTACAGGGAGCACAGGACCGCTTCTGTCCTCTGGTATCTCGGTGCCTAGCCAGACGAGTTACGATTATTTCTGTCGCTTTATCGGTCGCGTAATTCGACGTTAAAGCCGCGCTTGAAATCCGTGGTAATTTTGAGATCCGGAACGGGCCCTGAGACACGCGCGATCTGTGTTCCCCTGGTTACAAAGGCGAAACGGATTGCAGCCGAAAAATTGCGGAACAAAGCGTTCTCGCGGGCGTGGGAGTACTCTGAGTACATGGAAACGCGATAAGTTCGGCAGAGGGTGTCTTTCGCGAAGGTTAATTGCCACTTTACCACAAATCGCGAAGAATTTATGGATTCGCGATTCGTTCGTACAGTATCGTAGACTTAAAGGGTACTCTAGTCTAGAGGTCAATATTTTAGGTGCTATTTAGAATTTTTTTTTTGAGAACCATAAAGACAATTGTTTTGGGATTTACGGCATAGTTTTGATCTATATTTAAGGAGTATACACCATTTTTTTTATAAAAAAATATTGAAAATTGTCGAAGATATAGCTAGTTTCGTAGTGCCCCTTTAATTGAACATGTCTGCATGGTTGTCACGATTCCCGCTGTTCTTCTTTTCCGAAGTGGACAAACAAACGTCCATTCTATTCAGTACGAACGTGACTATAAGAACATCGAAGAGAAAATTTTTGGTAGTGCTTTGAAGTTAGGTAATCGACCTTTTGCGCCTTTTACAACTTTTGCGTGCCAAAAAAGAAAATAGTTGAAAATATTAACTAACTATATAAATATATAAATATATAATTGACTCGGACAAACCAGAGTTCATTTTTCTTATCTTATCTTCAGACTTTCTTTTTCATTCCTTTTTCTTCGATGTTACAGGGTGACTCCGACGAACGTGGACGCGGAATCCATACCTATGACGCAGAGGCACAGTGTGCGGAATAATCGTCGAGCTCATCGAGAAGATGGCCAAACGGAAGAGGAGTCCCGAACGATAAGACAGGTTAGAAAGAATTATGGGGATGTACAGATGGTAGCTCGAAGTACTCTCTCTCGTTGGCTGTCAACGATAAATGATAGATGACAAGAGTGAATAGCGAATTATTTTCGTCTGTATTTATTGTAAGAGGATTTTAAGGGATGAATTTAGATCAGGTTAGGCAGGGGTGATATAGACAGTCTTAACCCTTTGTGGATGAAATATATCGAATAGTTGCTATGTGGCGGCATCATTCTCACCCTCGCTAGTAGATGGGTTCCAGGTTTAAGGAGGTTCGAGGATTTTTTCCCAAGTCCTCGGTAAACCCTCCATTTTCTATATGTTTCCAGACTTTATATCTTCATATAATAGTATCCCTATCTGAGGCAGGACCTTATTTACTTATATACATATAAAAAAAATTTTTTTGGGCTTTACTGATGAATCCACTGGTGAGGTCCAGGATGAAATGCACCCCTCTATTTTTCTTTTGTCCCTTCCAACACCACATTCCATCATCACCATCAATACCGAGGATGCCTGTCTGACCAGCTGACTATAACAACAGTAAGGGAGAACCTCCCACAACTATATGTAATTTCATTATTTTTCTATACATCCGGTGCACTATTACCTCCCTAATCGAATTATTTCATTTTCAAAAAATTTCTCTGCTTGTCATCTCTCATATTTTGTTATATATTCTATCCACTCTTATTTTATAATTCTGTATTATAATTATAATTTTCCATGGTTCTTGATTGTCATTTAAAAGTTAGAAACTGTTGTTAAGAGATCGATCAGCGTGAACACAGCGATGCAGCGATGCACTGCGATAGTAGAGAGATAATTAAGTACAATAGGTGTCGGAGGTACATGAATATTTAACTGCCAAGTTACACGGTGTTCCAGAGAACGCTGTCCAATAGAAAACAGCCGGGAAGCATGGTCTGAGAAGCTCGTTTGATTCGGAAAGTTCTTGGTTGGAATTCATAAAAGTTCAATATCGCTTTACCGTTCGTTTGAGTTTGCAGAAAGACAATTTGCCTAACCAAACCGCTGCCACTCTCCTTCGAATGCTAATTATCGTATATTTCCAGTGATACTTCTTCAACAAATCAGTTTTCCATTTATGTAAATAGCCTCGTGTTTTACTTACTTTTCCTTCAATTTTCTTTTTACTTCGAGACATCCGTGAAACTAGTGGTGCAATATACGTGTCAATGTATTTCACTCGTTAAATCGAATTACGAGTATATTACGACAGACGATAATTTCTTTCACTGTCATAATTGTCGTTGGTATCTTCTCGTCTCAAGAATTTCCCTTTATTATTTTATTTTAACTCTTTCACTTTGACAATTCAGTACACCGATCTACGGTCACTGAACGGAAGCGCATGCCAGAAATATGCACGGTGCGCGTGGTTTTCCCAAGTCTTAACACCAGAACTATCGATCTTTAATGGGTACCTAACTATAACGTACATATATTATAGTAATTTCAGCGGTACGATGAATACGAGTGAATATATTGATTACAGTTCTTTCTTAATACGAGTTGATACCAATTTTATTCTTAAAGCAGGTGTATGTGTTCGGTGATTGCAAAAAGGAAAATTCTGGGACTAGTCATTTTGACTGGGTTGGTAGTTCTAGTGTTAAATAACTACTGTGTTGAATAAAACAATCGTATACAAATGGCACTTGTATACGCATTGTAGCGACCATTATTCTTATCTTCGCTACTAGAGTAATACTAGAGTATTTACTTTCTCGCAAGTTCTCGGAAAATTTCCAATTTCTATATATATAACTTCCCGACCTTCCAATAGTATCTCAGTCTAAGGCAAGGCCTGCTAGGGTAGCCTTATTGGTGAGTCCACTAGCAGGCCCGGGACGAAATGCATCCCCTCCTTTTCTTACTGTCCCTTCTAGCTACACTGCCAACGAGGATACCCACGATGAGTCGACATCAACGACCGTGGGGGTAGGACCCCCCACAGCATGTTTTGGATGCCGGATATATGAGCTGTACGTACCCAGGAGTCGTCACGTGGTCGCCGCCAATATGGGGTGCTCGTACTTAGAGGTTGTAGAGTGGATGTTGCTTATAAGCGGCGCTCGAAGCGAAAGGGTTAATTATTAATGATTAAAATATTAATTATTTCCAATATTTCAACCCCATAAACTCCAATCTTCCAGTCGAAGCTTGAAAATTATAATTTTAATGCAATTTTAATTTACCATATTCAGTATGATGTATATCCAATTTACTGTTTCATTATAAGCTTCACGTTCCTCTGACTTTCATCTCGTATTTCTCTTTCAGCATCGCTCATGCCCAATGGGTTGGTAGACAAACAACCTCTTGCACAGACTTCCTACGCAAGTAAAACGAACGCTTTTCGAGATAATCGTTTGGTGATTAAGTCGAAGTAATCGAGAGGAACGGGGGTACACGGGGTCTAATTAAATTTAATTAATACGCAGCTGTGTTCGAATTCGATTAATTTACGGGAGAGTGTAGAACGAGTACTAAGTTCATGGGGCACGATCGAAAACAATCTTCGAGTAGCTAGCATCGATTGATAAAGTTACGTTCGGGGAGGTGGAATTCGCCCAGAGAGAGCACAGCTTGTCTTAAGGGGTGGCTAAAAGCGGCGAAATGTAGGACGAACTGGCAAGTTTTAAAAAGGAGGGATCGTTTCGAGTCGTAACTCAATAGAGAGCGAGAGAAGAAGGAAGCAGGGGGCGGGGGGAGAAATTAACCACGAAGTTACTTTCCCTGAGACACGTACTTCCTTTATCATTTTATAGATCGTGCCGATCAATATGCTTAATGGAACGGAATATCGGGTTAATTTAATAATTCATCCTTTAATACGTGGAAGTAAAATTTGCACCAAACTAACGGTAACGAGAGGACAGCTAGGTGGTCATCTTATTAACGTAGTATCGCGAGTTGTGAAGGACAGCAAAGGAAGTAGTATTAAGACCCGTATCGGATGTAACGAGTAGATAAGGGATGCCCTAGTTCAACGCCATACGATAACAATGGGGTATATAATGAAGACGGCATTTCAATCAAGTAGTCCTATTTTCTAATTCAATCAACGTATATGCTGGAATTTTAGAAAATTCTTTTATTTATTTTTTGCATAACATTATTCATTTTTCAGCTCGGGCATTCAGGATGATATCTGGAGTGCGTGAGGACGGACAAATGACCGTGTGCATGGATTGTATGAATGAGATATTTATGACCGAGTCGAGTGCAAGCAATGAACGAAAGTCTAGGGATGCATCCGAGTGTCTGAAGTACCTGGCCCATCGTGGGTGAGGTCGCGTGGGAAACGAATAAAGGCGAGTTAGAATGTATACAGTCGAACCATAGTGAGTAGGACATCGAGTATTTAAGAGTTAGAGTCCAAGATTGAGGGAAAGATAGTGTAATATTTTAGTTTAAATCTGTTTGTTATTAAAACAGAGTCGTCGTTTAATAAACAAGCAGACCTTTGTCAGCAGAGGACTTATCTAGCATTAATCCCACATAAATGAGAGCTATCTTATGAATTATTATACATCTCGACAAAGTAATTAGATCTGAATAATGAAACTCTGTTGATGAACAGGTGGTGAAGATGCTGGTGGCAGTCGTGGTGCTATTTGTCATCTGCTGGGCTCCCATTCTGGTTGACAACATGCTCACAGCTTATGGGATCCTGCCACGGGTGAAGGCTGACACTCACAAGCACCTCAACACGGTCTTTCAGCTGATGGCTTACTTCAACAGGTATATCAAAAGGTTATCAGGCTTCTGCTTTATCGAATATGCCTGTTTGCGTTCGTTAGATTCACTTGTTAGAGATGACAGAACATACATAAGCTCATCTCCTGCACTCGAATAGCTTTCCATCCTGTTTCGTTTAATTTCTTCGCAGAGTTAACGTGGAGCATTAGAGATGCGAGGCTATCCACTCTCGTCTATTTTCTCAGGAAGATGGATTAACCCCTGAAGCGACACATCGTCGGGAAGAAGTTTCGAGGTCGACTGATATATATTTTCCATCGTTCTTCTTTCCTTTGGCTACTGTTCCAATGTATAAATTGAGCAGCTTCCAACCAGATAGACACTCCAAAATAATCCTTAGTCGAATATGTGGTAGTGACTAAGTAATCGGTTTGAGAGAGGACTGAAGGTGGTGGGCCTTGTTCAATTTAGGAAATTGCAAATGCAACCAGAAGCGTATCTGCGTAATTATGAAGAATCGGCCGATTAAATGCCGTGTACTTGAGGGAATTCGTGGCTCCGTGTAACTGTGACTCTCAGTTGCATGTTTTCTTGCGATTTATAGCGCAGTCCTACGGGAATGGAGTGTAGGTGCAGAAGCATTTAATTAATTTCCACGAAATCGTTGTCCCAATGGGAGCCGTTTTCGCGTGGCTCCTTATCGATTTTCGTTTCGCTTATTTCCGTCTGCAGTACGGTCTGTGGACATTAACGGTTATAGCCCAGACGCGAGTCATGCTCTCCATGTAATAACCCTACGTTAACGTAATAATTCGCCTGTGCAACGATCCGTGAGAAAATTCCATCCTATTACGTTCACTAATGATCCATAATTTGCAGGGCACACTCGATCATTGTTCACAAATTTGTTACAATCTTGTAGAAGCTTGACAGTAAAGGGTAAGGATGGTAATGGCAAATTACATTCACCAAGCTATTCGAGTGCACCATCTTCACCATTAGTCTTGACCTGATTTCAGGCTTTTACTATTTTCTACTTTATTAATTCCTACGATATCTGAACCATCTATCTCAGTGACGAGCAACACTTCATCGCCTATCTGTAGCCTGCCAAGGCTTCGACAATTCTTTTGACTTGCTCCAACTTTTGACGTTTACCTTCTTGACTTTTACTCGAATGTAAAAATCTCACAAGACACGAAATGGTAAATTTTCTAATTTGGCACACTGGCTGACGCAAAGGTTGCTCGTCACTCACCTATTGTACCTTTGAATCCCCACGCGATGCTATAGTCATCGATATCGCTATACTGTCACGTCGTGTTTCAGCTGCATAAATCCGATCATCTACGGATTCATGTCAAAGCACTTCAGGGAGAGCTTCCTGTCTGCAGCCTGCGGTGGCTGGTGGATTTGCTGTCCAAGAAGGGGTTACAGGACGCCGGTGAAAAGGCACCCTAGCCTCAGCCAGACCAGGACGACCAGTATCAGGTATGCAGGTCCGACCCAAATCTATGCGACGCACGCACATTCTGGCGTTCTTTTCTTCTCTTCCTTCTTCTGCTCCGTAACGTGACAGGAAGAGCTGCGGCGTGGCAGAAGAACCACCGTTAAACTGCTTTTAAAAATTTCAGATTGTTATGGACTAATGTGTATAATTCCTTGAGACTGTAGCCATGCCGATAGACACCTAGAAATTTCGAAAAGTTTCC